CGCGCATAGACCCCAGCGCTCCACATTGGATGCAGTGGCATATCTCGTTCATTCTATAGCCACTGCATTAGATTAAAAATGTAAATCTGTATGGCTTCTCGTCCTGGATTATTCCAACGCCTTTGGAAGCCTGGATAGGTCAAGATTGCTAAACCGGCTATCCGAAAATAGAGTTCCCCCTGGGGTGTGTAATCTGTTACGTGAGTATTTTAAAGATCGTACTCACTTCACCAAGTTGAAGGGGAAGAAATCCTCTGTCCTCCGTGCCGACTGTGATGTTCTACAGGGAGCGATCCTATCACCTTTTCCTTGTATGTTGAACATCTCCCTATACAAAGCAGGGTTATAGGGTGTAAATATGCTGATGATGTTGTGCTGAGATGTATGGCCTCCGTTAACTAGGATTCCTCAACACTTTAACGTGGGTTGGAAGATCTGGTGGAATGGTCTTCATGCAGATCTCTTACACTTAAAGCTTCTAAATGCAAGGATGCAGTATTTTCTTTTCTACGTGGCGATAAGTTACAGTCCCTTATAATCCCATACCAAGCTCTTCCACCGTCAAGTATCGGCGCATTTTTGTCCCAAAATTTTTCTTGGTCCACGCAGTCTGTAAAACTTTTCAAAAAGTCAGAAACTTTCTTTTTATGCCCACAGAGTTAATGTGCTTTCAGTACCACGTACTTTAATATTCAGGTTTGTGACCTTTTGCATGATTCCCCATTGGTTATACTGTCCTGTCACTTTCCCAGAACTGCTTCAGAAAGACTACATCTTATTGGTGCGATCTATAAAGCACATTTCCAGATGCAGCGGCGTCTAGAGATTTTTTTGGTTGACTTGATCATTCCTAGACAACTTGATGCTTGCAATGATCTTTCTTCTAAGATACTAGCTGATCGAGTTCATCCACTTCACAATGATATTTCAAAAACGCTCTATTTCTCATCTACTCGTTCGAAAATAAGAATTTTATTCTCCCACACATCATCGTATCGTAATACTGTTTTGCCTTATCACTCACATTTTCTGTTTGACACAGCAAAAGTCACTAACATGCTACGCGAGCGCTTGTTGGAGTAAGAGTTCTGCTTTATCCCACTTTCTACCCAAACATGTATATTGATATTATCATCCAGGTATTCGCAGTGGTGGTGTAAATGCTGACAATAAACCCATTAGGGTTCATAAAGTCTATTTTGACTTGCGTTGACTTGATATGCAAAGTGATGACCCGACAACTGACATAAACAAGAGATGTGGTCAAGGTAGCCTGGTTTTTGACGTGACATGGTTTGCTGTTTAAAGAATCAAACTTCCAAAGAAAATAATCAGTCTATGAAGAAGGACAGAGGGAGGCACATTTAAGGCGATAAAGTTCAGAATGAGCGCACCAAGATTACTGTAATCCGAACGTAAGTTTCTTTTTGATGGTTTCCTGTTCTGATAACCTCACAAATAAAGCGTGCAAATCATTTATGAGAGTGACCTCTGGACTAAAATTGGTCGGAATAATTCCATATGGTCCTGTGGTCATATTCGATTGAAATAGTTCCATCTCACGTTCGAATTCCGCGATACAGAGTGGACTGCTAAAGCAGCAAGACGGTCGCTGATGGGCGGCGAATCTGATAATTCTGAAGGGTTAAATTGCATCGCAGTGTTTAGCCCGACGCTCCAATCGTTTCGACAGGCTGTGGATAGGGCGTTTTTTTCTCCTCACTGCCGGATGAAATGGAATCACTTCAGATGGTTACCAACATTAGTGACCGCTTTCGTCGCCGATGCACGATGGCAATAGACTTTGAGATTTCTCTACAGCGGCATGAAATTTTGCCCTCAGATCTTAAGGATTTTTGCCGTATTCGTTTCCAACGGAATGTGTCGACAAGCATCGAGAAGCACTACGGAACGCGTAGACCCGTTGCTTAGGTTGGTAATTGAATTTGCCGCAAAAAGACCTACCTGATGCTAGTTACCTCTGCCGAACAGGCAATCAGTGAACTTCAACTGGGATCAGTGAGTGTTTTACTAGTCATGCTATCAACTCACTTTGATACGCGTTAGGAACATTCGAATTCGCTAGTTAGCAGACGTCAATGCAATCACAGTGTCTTCCCCAGTGTTCATCGGAACGTACCCACAGATTGACACATGCAAGTGTATGGTCCGAGACCACACTTGTGCTGTAAATCGAGAGACGGTTTTGGACATAATACCTTCAAAGGCAGTTGGTCATGTTGTGATCGATCTCCATGCATAGCTATTCCGAGGTTAGTGGGCACTATACAACCCTGTAGTGGGTGCATATCGCAAGTTGACGCTGATAAAGGAGCCTCATCACACAAGTGCAGCAACTTATCGTCCCTATCATTATGGGAGACTAAATAGTGGTAGTTGTCCAGATGGAGCTAAGCATATAAGAATATTCCAACACACAGCGCCCATACATCTTTTGAGACGAAAGAGGTCGTTAAGTTGACGATAGACGACATATTTCACGAAGTCAGTGCTACAGTTCTCGAGAGCGAAGGTAGTAATGACAAACAAATACCTATGAGGCCAGCGCGATTTTGAGGCTTGGACGAGGCATAAAACTTGACAGTGCACATCCGGCTAGTGATTGTAATCCAGTCAATTAGAGTAGCCAGAGTGCGGGGTTGAGAACAATACCCACATCGACTGAGCGGCATTTGTAGGTGTACTATGTCCGGAAGGAAGCAGTGAGAAAGTATCGACAATGAAAGAGACCACAGGAAAAACGTAGAGTCTTGCAGGCGCGTTCCGATGAACAGCAGATATCGGTCGATAGAGCCTCTAATGTTCTAGAAAGTTGACCGAGTTGCAACAAGATGGGAACTATGAGGCATATCAATTATCGGATCGAAGGTTCCAAATGGAGGCCGTTAAACAGCGATCTTCGTCTATATGTTGGGTATGGACTTGTCGATGCAACAAGGGTAACGCTCAGTGACTGTAAGCAGATCAAAAGTATAAGACAAATACAAACCAAAGCAAAATGAAAGAGGACAAATAATTAGTAGGGGGGCTAGAAAGAGAGCGATAACAGTGAAGTTGTGATAGGAGGATAGGGAAGAAAGAGCCTAGGAAGGGGGATAAAAAACAGAAAGGTGTAATTAATTACATATTAACCCATACCCACTCCGCCCATGATTACCCGCTGTGACGGCCAGGACATGAAGAAATTGCTTAATAAATTTCTGTTGTAATGCAAGAACAAACTACTGTCAGGTCGCACAAACATAGGCAGAACGATTAGGGATCTCAAATAGAGCATTTGGTTTAAAAAGTTGACCACAAGCCAGTGGGAGTCTGACACAGCTATAAGAAACAAGGAGCCATCGTCATTCTACCCGCCTAGCCCGAGGGCCAAGAAACTGTCTCTCCGGCCCTTGCCAGGTCAGGTGGTTCGGGTGCACCACGAAATATAGCAGTTTATTGACCGCGCCAAGTTTAAGTCCCGTATCGCAACGACGATACGGAAGATGAGAAACATAGAGGAGAAATCCAGAGAGCATAACGGATACATACAGATTTCATAAATAGAATTGTTAATAGAACTCGGTATATTTCAAATAGGAACGGTATAGGAATAATGTTAATGGCAGCACGAAACGGAGATAGTTACGGTGGAGACTAAGTATTTATGCCCATAGGATATCTCCTTGCGCAAAACAAAATTGGTGGTGTGATCGGTGAGCATAACGACATGAGCTAAGGATATATCAAAGAAGTTTTGAAAAGTATGTGAGGGCACATTGTCTGAATTTAGGGAGATCTCTGCTTCGGTGGTATTTACATTGTGGTCCGGAGGGAGTATAGCCACATAACAAGCAAAGTTGTCTTTCCATGTTAGACCATGCTAGAAATACTTGTGAATAAATCCCTAACCGAAGCCCATTTGCTTCAATAGGGGTATCAATCCGACAAACGTATATTGTTTCGTACTGTGCTCTCCAGTTGACAGCGTTCAAATAATTTCCTGACGCATACAAACCATTGCGAGCTTTCGCCACGACTTACCAGGCCGCGTCAGGCAGCATTTGCTGTTTAGCTAGGTTCGATTGTAAACGGAGTGATCGCAATTCCTGGGGGGCAATCTGAATGACCGGACAGTGTTCATGAATAGGCTTAAATTAAAAAGGTACACACTGGGTTTTGGTACCCAAAGCAATACTTGGGTTTTAACCAGAACTGAAAAACATGTCGTTAATGGAAGATTTTTTTAAGGAATCGTAAGCGACATGTCGACAGGGATGAAACAGCTAGCTAGTTGGTGACATACTCAAATTTGCGGATAAAGCACGTTAGATTAAAAGGAGCCATCTCTGTAGATAATCGACTTGTATTCCGTCGGTTATGCCGTCAGCAAGCCACAAATAGGCGTAAGTCGCCTAAACTGCCTCATTGTAGGTTAAACAAGTTGACTAAATCGCTGTCATTTATCTCTCGAGAACAAATCTAGCCGGTCAGCGTGAAATCGGCTCGGACATCAGTTAATGAATGAGGCCGATGTGAACCAGTCAGTAGGTTATGTGAATCGGCGATCTTTGTGGCTAGACACAGATTGCAAGTCAACTAAATGAATAAATGACGCTGTGTGGTTTGAACTGAAAACGGAGATTTGTTTACCTTACGGTAGACGTTAACCGGAGGCTAGAACCTTGTCATTAGGATGGACTGGCATTTTGGCACATCAACGGCCTGAGAAACAGTTTAGAACGATGGCCTTGTCCCCAAAATCCGTCAAATCTAGGGTCTACTGTGCACAAGGCTGAATATAAGATGCACTTATTTCACAAAAATTGTTCTACCTCGGATAACAAACATTTCGACAAAATCATCAGACATGTTACAAACAAACAAAAAAGGAATTTTTGAACGATATTTCCTCCTAATCTCAAAGTTACACAAGTAAAGTTGACATTTTGCAAGTAAACCAACTTTTGTATCACAAAATATGGTATTATGAGGCTCACCGTGAGTGCCATCGGATCCTTCCACTTGATGTATCCCCAATTCTTTCAGTGGTGGTTGCCGAACAGTGACAGCTGCTGCAGCGGCTACCGATGGCCAGGAGACAGGCTTCTTCGCTATGGGACCATCCGGATGAAGAGAGTGGCTATGAAATAGCGTAGCGTTGATAAAATTAGCAGCAGCGCCGCTAGCTAGGCCCATCCCAATTCCCATTGCAAGTCCCGGAGACCCTCGATGGGCAGATGCCCGATTGTCATGTGCGTCCGAGTGGAACAATTGCTTATTCGATACAACCAACGAAGGATGTACGGGTCGTGGCCGCGGCGATAACCCGGCGGCGAGTGCTGCCATTGCGACAGCTTGCGCCGCTCCCACATTCAGGTGAGGCCTATGTGGCGTGTGTTGAGAAGTTACATCGGGGACGGTTACGCGTAGACTCTGTCTCTCATCCTCTTCGGTTAACAAACTATGTCTGTAATCATCCTTGTTGTAGCCATAGTGAGGGTTCGTTGTCTCTACCCTGTCGCCATGTGAGGAGATCTGGAGTGAGTTGAACTCGCTACCGAGGCTCCCGCCTCCGTAGTGTGCTCCGGTAAGGCCGAGCTCATTTTCCATGGGCACCCCGTTCTCCGTCGCCCAACCAGCCGCTCGTGCTCCAGTTAAAGCGCTGATTTCTTGGCTAGTGAAGCCTGCATTGAGCGCGGACTGAGGGCAAGATTAGGAAACATATGCAATATTGATAAGATCTCTACTTACTTTACAAGTAGGCAGGAAGAAAGGGTTACAAAGTAAGGAGGACGCGGCAAAATTGTATACAGCGTTTGTGGTTTCAGATAACTCATTAATAATATAAAATAGCAGATGGTTGTTTGACCAAAAGTTTGCCTGACAATTTACTAGGAATCAGAAACCGTTGTCACACATGCAAATCTTCTTAACATATCCGAGTACTTTATTCGTCGAGAGCTGTGATCTATGGTTGATTCCGAAAAGCGGAATGATCACTAAACGACCAATACAGAAATACGCGCAACCCTGTGGTACAAATCCGCTTAAGATCTTCCTTATAAGTAAAAGGATGGACGATCCCGAGTATCGTTTATCTTTATGTAAACGGTGTTCAGCCACTTAAGGGCCCGAATACCGTGCCCAAGGATAGGAGGGTTGCGTGGGAAGGAAAAGCGGGAAATTTCGAACTATATACACAAAGTTACCATACTTATGAGTGCAGCAGATGAGTACAGTAAGTAATAGAGGTTTATATGAAACCCGTTGGGCGTGGCGCCTCCACAACTTACATTTGTTGTGGTATCTGCCGTTGTGATAACGAGGACGCGTGACACGAAAATCGTTACGGTCAGAAACCGCAAACACACTGTGGAATTTCTGTAGCGAAAGCAGTATATCTCTTAAGATAATAAATATATGACTGTATGCTAGTCTTATCAGGTTTATTTCACTCACCTTTGTCACCACACTCAAACCCGGATGCCCTGGAGTCATGGGGACCAGTGGCCGGTCTGAATCGAGTTCACCAGAGTCCGTGCCGAGTATGCGTTCAGCTTTAGTTTGTTCCGTGATAGGGTGGGTAGCGAACCAATAGTTTTCCAAATATTGGCGGAGTGCCTCTGTCGCAGCACCCAACGTGTTTTGGTCCACTATGAAGTCGAAAGCATCCTGAAACAAGTCAAAATAAACAGCACCATAATGTTAAGGTTAACTCGACAGTTCTAACCAGTCTAGGCAATGCAGAGTGGCTCTGTTGTATACTCTGAGCTCCCCCCCCCCACTACAGAAATGGAATAGATCCAATAAGCATGGCTTTGAGACATCCGTGCAGAGACTAACCGTATACTTTACTTACGCGAGCATGGCATTAATTTATTCGATTGAGCAGATGCATGTAATGTAATGTAAGAAAGTACAGCGAATAACAAGCATGCAGACGTGACGGTGATACATGGCTCAGTTCCCGTTCGGCTGTTAGACATGTCGTGTTGCCAACCGGAGATCATGGAACAGCCATTAACCGATCACACATCAACTACTCAAACATGCCGGTGATAATAGGCTCCATACTAAAATATGTAGTGTTATTAGCCCGAGACCCTGGAACAGCTATTGACAATCGCATGGAAATTGCTAAGACACGCAAGGTCATGATATACGATGCTTTCCTCCATTGGTCAAATGTGATACCCTAAAGATAGAATGCATATTGGTGATGCAATCAGGTTCTTGATAAGAGCACAAATGGAATTCTCACGCATTCAGGAGATAGGAAACAATGTATACGAAGTATAACTGAAACAGAGTATCGTATCCAATCGTCGCGTTGTTTAATTACTTCCAGCTCTCAACACATTTGCACAACATTTGGCCTTGAGTGAAGTTCGTGGGTGATTAGCACGCAAGTTGTCATGAAGGAATCCAGTGCAATTATCAACGTGTGCATTTAGTCAAAGACCGTTCAGCCTTACGATATTAATCAAATACCAATGTTAGAAGAGCAGCTGAAGGTTAAAACTTAGTACCCACGGTGTCGCTTTATTCGGAACAAGGTTCCATCAAAATCATAACATGTCAGCTGAAGATGAGAAACACAAATCATCTATGGCGCCAAAATGCAGAAAGAAAAAACGTACGAAAAAGAATTTTAAACATTAGTGAAAGATAAGTAACATAATGCTAAGTATGCATCGGGTGTGAGATCGTGGTTAGAAGGAGAATAAAGTGAGAGGGACAAAGAAACATACAAAACAAACGTAACAGACTGGCTCATTGCCATGTCGACAAAAATATGCAACCAGACGTGTTCATCATCCGTCGGACCACAGCCCAGATAAAACAACCGACAACAAGTTCGAAGTGAGATTCTTCATACCTCTCGACCGAATCATCGCTTGGTCTCCCCACCTCTTCGTCAACCCAGGCTTCGGACGTGCAAACAACGCACTTCGTGGAAGTCGGTGTCATCATCATCATCATCAACAGCAGTACATCAGCCATTTGAACTGATGCTTCGCTGCCATACAACCATGAGGACCTTTGAAATAAATAATAAGAAGAGGGAGAGAAGGGGGACTTACCTGAAAACCTTAATGCCCTAAGCAAACATTCAGGGTCAAGGCGCCTACACCTTGTGTAACAACATACCGTCACAAACAGCTGGCTATCGTGCAAAGATAAGGCGGCATCGGCGAGACAGCTTCCTTGCGGCTTTCACTGCCACGCGTCATAATCAGCCATTACCCCGCAGATAACACAGCACCAAACACACTTTAAACAGGCAATCCGATTAGGAGACGGCAGCAGACGCGCCACTGGTGTCGGTTGCGAGCCATGTCCTGTAAAGTCTCGAGCCAAGCACAAGTCGAGTCACTTGGACTCCAGCCCGGAAGGCGAGACGGACCAACGGCACCCAGTTTGGTCGTCAGTGACTTCATTTCCCGCTGCCAAGTCAACTTCTGTCCACCTCGAGCCTTGCGCCATCCTACACCTGGCAGACTGAACAAGGCCCTCCAGGTAAGCGGTGACCAGGCATGCGTAGCACGTGCCCGAGCCAACGCAACTTATTCAGTGCTATCTGTTGTTCTAGGGAGCTAGCATGATTATCACCACCTAGTACTCGCCTACGCACATCATCGTTGCGGACACGCTGGTGCCATCCGAGACCAGCAATGCTTCGCAGACAACGATGATCAAAGACTTGAAGGCGCCTCAGATCTTCAGACCGAAGGGGCCAAGTCTCACTACCATAGAGCAGAACGGCCCTCACTGTGGCCCTGTATACACGGCCTTTCAGACGGAGGGAAACTCCCTTCTGTCGCCAAAGATGACGCAGGTTCAAGAAGGCAGCTCTGGCCTTTGCAATGCGTGAGCTGACGTCAGTTTCTATGCGCCATCATTGCTGATGCAGCTGCCAAGATAAGTGAAATGATCAACCACCTCGAGTTCCTCGTCAGCAAGCGTCAAGGGGTCATCAAGTGGCTGGTGCTCCTGCAGCAACACTTTGCACTTTGAAGGTGCGAAGTGCATACCAAATAATGGGACCACTCTGGACAGGCTATTCAGGGTTGATTGTGCCGCCGCAACATCGTCGAAAAGCAAGACGATATCGTCCGCATAATCTAGATCAACTAACCTTTCACCAGGCAGCACTTCAACGCCTACATCGTGAGATTCCGCAAGGGAACACTCCATGATAGAATCCACGACGAAATTGAACAAAAACGGGGAAATCGGACAACCCTGACGAACGCCACTTGTAGTCGAAAAGCTATCCGATAGGGCACCATAGACCCTGACGCGGCCTGTAGTGTTCGAGTATAGAGCACGAAGGATGTTCACATATTTCGTGGGAACACCTTTCCGCGCAAGTATTTCGAACAGAATCGATCGATCGACTGAATCGAACGCACTCTTGAAATCGAGGAACACAGCTATTGTCGGTCTGCGGTATGCGTGGCGCTGCTCTAGCACCTGCCGCAAAGTAAATATATGGTCTATACAGCCACGTCCTGGGCGAAAACCGGCCTGCTCTTCCCTAATCCGAGATTCCCGTTCTGCAGTGAGGCGACGAACGATAATCGAGGCCAGTAATTTTGTCACAACTGGCGTTAGGCTAATACCCCTGTGGTTCGCACAGTCTGTGCGACTGCCCTTCTTGTATATTGCCACTATAATCGATTCGCTCCAATTAGCCGGCACACTCTCTTCGTTCCAGATACGTTCGAATAGGGAGGTCAGTGCTTTGCAGAGGACCTCACCTCCATCCTTAAATAGTGCAGGTGGGAGGGAATCCGGGCCAGCGGCACGAAAACGATTGAGGGCTGTGATCGCGTTTCGGACCTCGGCCTCCGACGGAGGCTCTAAACTAACCGTCCATGGCTCGTCCTGCATCACCTGAGTAGGAAGAGGTCCGGGAGCAGGGGGCCAGCTGAACTGATCTTGAAAGTGTTCAGCCCAACGAGCCATACGGCGCTCCTTATTGTGTATCAGCGCACCCGCGCTGTCTCTGATTGTCTCACTGACGCCTGGTTTTCTCGGACCAGTGGTGCGGATTAGCTGGAAGAGCTTCCGGTAATTGCCTACTGCTCCTGCCTCCTCCATTTCTTGAGCCCGACTGGTCCACCAGGCTTCCTTGTCAGCACGTAGGCTCCGCTTTAGTTCACGCCTAATAGCCCGTCTGGTCACATTGTGTTCAGAACCAGCCGGGAGGTGTCTTCTAGCTTCCAACAGGTTCACGGACCTCTCGGATATCCAGTGACTGGTGCGGTGACGACTGATAGTGCCACAAGCAGATGCTCCTGCGTCGTGCATAGCGGCCGAGATCCTATTCCACTGAAGTTCAGTGTCATTAGGACAAGACAGCGAGAGTTCGCTATGCAGTGCTTCTTGATAGGCTTGCCTGACCGAGGGCTGGGACAATTTCTCCGTTGCCAATCGGAGGAGACGCTTTGTGCGCCTTCCGGTAAAGTTCATGGAGAAACGACAGCGCACCAAGGCATGATCAGAGTCGACACAGGTACTCCAGTACGAGCGGCAATCCAGAATGGAACCGCGCCACCTGTAACTTATGGCTATGTGGTCAATTTGGGTCCATCGCTGGCCAGCTACAGCTGGACGCCAAGTGGCACTTCGGCGCCCACTGTGTCTAAAAGCAGTGCTAGTAAGAAACAACTGGTGCTCCGCACACAGTTGCAGCAGACGCTCGCCGTTGTCAGTCCGTTCGGAGTTAAGTCCATACTTACCACCCAGCTGAGCTTCTGAAGAGCTCAGACGCCCTACTTGTGCGTTCATATCCCCTGCAAGTACTATAATATCTGAACTAGTAGCACTGCGTAGCAGCGCGTTCAGTTCGTGATAGAAAGTGTCCTTGACTGCATTAGAACTGCAGTCGGTGGGAGCATAAGCGGAAATCACAAACAAACAGCGTTTTGTTTTACTTCGCGAATTCACCTTAGCTGATGTCGTCAAACGGGCTGCACATAAACGGCTGTTCACCGGAATCCAATCAACCAACGATGACTCAGCCTTGGAGCTGAGAATGATACCTACACCAGCTTGACCCGTGAGTGCCGCATCGGCGTCTCCGGATGCGTGCAACCAATAACGAGAGGATAAGCCGGGTGCAGTCAATTCAATAACCCCGTTAGGGTCATTAATCCTAGTTTCGGACACACAACACACATCAACACCCAGTGTGTCCAAGGTGCGTGCGAGTGCAGCCTGCTGACCTGTTTGTCTTAGAGTGCGGACGTTGAATGTCGCCATGGAAACGGGACAGCGTGGCCTTATAAGGGACTTTTGCCGATAGGCGTCCGATAGGTGCTGTGGGATGGTGGCTGCAGATGGTTCTACTCCAGTAGCACTTCGGTTGCTGTCAATTAAGCTGGGAATTATAGAAGGAAGGTTAGTAATGGGGGCCGCTGACCCAGAGGCTGAAAGGTATCAAAATCAACCATGAGAATCACCCCTATAGGGAAGAAAAAATAGACTTCACACATTCCTGGTGTGTACTACTGATGATTAGCCCCACTCTCTCCCCATTATATTCCCCGCATCTTCAACTCTATCCTTATAAAAACGCAAACACACAACAACAGGAGCCAGCCCGAAGAGGGTAAACAGTTAAGCAGTACAGACTGGGGCATAAACCATTCCCTTCAACCCCT